TGGAGGAGGTGTGTGTGGATAGGGAAGTCTGGGCGTCTCTGCTTAGACTGCTGCCCCCGCAACCCGGCAACGGATAAAGCGGAAGAAAATGGATGGATGGAGTTTTGCACATCGAGAGACTGGAATTCTGGCCCATTCTTCCTTGCAAAACAGCTCGAGCTCAGTGAGGTTTGATGGAGAGCGTTTGTGAACAGCAGTCTTCAGCCCTTTCCACAGATTCTGGATTGGATTCAGGTCTGGACTTTGACTTGGCCATTCTAACACCTGGATACGTCTATTTGTGAACCATTCCATTGTAGATTTGGCTTTATGTTTTGGATCATTGTCCTGTTGGAAGATAAATCTCCGTCCCAGTCTCAGGTCTTTTGCAGACTCCAACAGGTTTTCTTCTAGAATGGTCCTGTATTTGGCTCCATCCATCTTCCCATCAATTTTAGCCATCTTCCCTGTCCCTGCTGAAGAAAAGCAGGCCCAAAGCATGATGCTGCCACCACCATGTTTGACAGTGGGGATGGTGTGTTCAGGGTGATGAGATGTGTTGCTTTCACGCCAAACATATAGTTTGGCATTGTGGCCAAAAAGTTCGATTTTGGTTTCATCTGACCAGAGCACCTTCTTCCACATGTTTGGTGTGTCTCCCAGGTGGCTTGTGGCAAACTTTAAACAAGACTTTTTATGGATATCTTTGAGAAATGGCTTTCTTCTTGCCACTCTTCCATAAAGGCCAGATTTGTGCAGTGCACGACTGATTGTTGTCCTATGGACAGACTCTCCCACCTCAGCTGTAGTTATCTGCAGTTCATCCAGAGTGATCATGGGCCTCTTGACTGCATCTCTGATCAGTCTTCTCCTTGTTTGAGATGAAAGTTTGGAGGGACGGCCGGGTCTTGGTAGATTTGCAGTGGTCCGATACTCCTTCCATTTCAATATAATTGCTTGCACAGTGCTTTTGTATCCAAATCCGGCTTTTAAGTTCTGCACAACAGTATCTCGGACCTGCCTGGTGTGTTCCTTTGTCTTCATGGTTCTCTCTGCGCTTTAAACAGAACCCTGAGACTATCAAAGAGCAGGTGCATTTATACGGAGACTTGATTACACACAGGTGCATTATATTTATCATCATCAGTCATTTAGGACAACATTGGATCATTCAAAGATCCTCACTGAACTTCTGGACTGAGTTTGCTGCACTGAAAGTAAAGGGGCCGAATAATATTGCACGCCCCTCTTTTCAGTTTTTTATTTGTTAAAAAAGTTTAAATTATCCAATACATTTCGTTCCACTTCACGATTGTGTCCCACTTGTTGTTGATTCATGACAACAATTAAAAATTTTATATCTTTATGTTTGAAGCCTGAAATGTGGCGAAATGTTGAAAGGAATACTTTCGCAAGGTACTGTATGTATAAAATACCAATTATATGTCAATTTAATAAAAACAATAAAATGCCAAGAAGAAGGCCCCATCCCTTGGTTCAAGACCACAGAGAAGGCCCTGGCCCCCAAGTTCAAGACCACAGAGAAGACCCTGTGCCCGGTTTAAGACCACAGAGAAGGCCCTGTCCCAAGAGTTCAAGACCACAGAGAAGTAAGTAAGTAATCTTTATTTATATACCGCCTTTCACAGACCAGAGTCACAAAGCGGTTTACAATTGTTATTATTTTTTACTCCACACAGAGATGGGAGCGGGGTCGCCGAACAGGAGGCGCATGCCAGACCTATTGTACATATTTTTAGTGGTAGGGGAAACAGGAGCACCCGGAGGAAACCTACGAAGACACACTCCACTCAGAAAGGCCCTGGTCCGACCGGGATTCGAACCCAGGACCTTCTTGCTGAGAGGCGAGAGTGCTATCCACTCAGCCACCGTGCCACCCTGTCCCCGGTTTAAGACCACAGAGAACTCCCTGTCCCCAGAGTTCAAGACCACAGAGAGGACCTGTCCATCGGTTCAAGACCACAGAGAGGACCTGTCCATCGGTTTAAGACCACAGAGAGGACCTGTCCATCGGTTTAAGACCACAGAGAGGACCTGTCCATCGGTTTAAGACCACAGAGAGGACCTGTCCATCGGTTCAAGACCACAGAGAGGACCTGTCCATCGGTTTAAGACCACAGAGAGGACCTGTCTATGGCCCTCGGATATTTTGATAAGGGTCAATGGAACCATGTTGGTGATTGGCTATGTCCAGAAAGTTACGTACTGTTGCTTTAATGATTTTCTGTACTCAGCAGATCCACTTATCACATTCCAATAATAAAGTATTGTATTTGTGACCAAAAAAAAAACAAATATATGAAACACAAAACTACAACCACAACATTTGAATTTGTCTCAGAATTGTCTTTATTTGAAGAGGATTTTCACTTGCATTTTCATTACAATACAGGCTTTGTCATTCTAAAGGAGATTACTGGGTAAATATGTGCACATAATTTAAATAAATTAACAGAAATGAAACCAATCGGTATGTCAAGGCCTCTTTGATGCCCACATGAAAACTCATCTCTGAATAATACATCCGTAAAAATACTCCCAGGTTTCAAAACAAACCCAATCAGTGCAACGGTTTCTGTAGCCACGGAAAAGAATGCACTTGAAGATGCTGCGTGAAGGCACCTGTATCTGTCCTGTGTGTTAAGCATCTGTATCTGTGTGTGTGTTATGCACCTGTATCTGTCTGTGTCTTATGCACCTGTATCTGTCTGTGTCTTTTGCACCTGAATCTGTCTGTGTGTTATGCACCTGTATCTGTCTGTGTCTTTTGCACCTGTATCTGTCTGTGTCTTTTGCACCTGAATCTGTCTGTGTGTTATGCTCCTGTATCTGTGTGTGTGTTATGCACCTGTATCTGTCTGTGTCTTTTGCACCTGTATCTGTCTGTGTGTTATGCACCTGTATCTGTCTGTGTCTTTTGCACCTGTATCTGTCTGTGTGTTATGCACCTGTATCTGTCTGTGTCTTTTGCACCTGTATCTGTCTGTGTGTTATGCACCTGTATCTGTCTGTGTGTTATGCACCTGTATCTGTCTGTGTCTTTTGCACCTGAATCTGTCTGTGTGTTATGCACCTGTATCTGTCTGTGTCTTTTGCACCTGTATCTGTCTGTGTCTTTTGCACCTGAATCTGTCTTTGTGTTATGCACCTGTATCTGTGCATGTGTTATGCATCTGTATCTGTCTGTGTGTTATGCACCTGTATCTGTCTGTGTCTTTTGCACCTGTGTCTGTGTGTTATGCACCTGTATCTGTCTGTGTGTTATGCACCTGTATCTGTCTGTGTGTTATGCACCTGTATCTGTCTGTGTCTTTTGCACCTGTATCTGTCTGTGTGTTATGCACCTGTATCTGTCTGTGTGTTATGCACCTGTATCTGTGTCTTGCACCTGTATCTATCCTGTGTGTCATATTTCATGCAGAGTGAAAGACGTTGAAAGCGTTGTGCTTTTTTCTGGTTTGAAAAACATTGAACGTGTGAATCATCAACGTTTCCTTTAATCAGTGTTTTCCTTTTGTCACATCACAACCACAATCTTTTATCGTTTTCCAACCACAAAGTGTTCAGACGATTATGTGAAGGGAAATACAAATAAGATTAAAACATTAATTATTTGAAGAAAAGAAAAAGGGGTTTGCCAAAGAGTGAATACTTTATGAAACCCCTTTTGCTGTAACTATGACGATACTGTATACGTATTTGAGGAGCCTCTCGGAAACTAGGACTCGTCGCTGGAGGCTGATGCTCCCAACACTAAGGACATTTTTATATAAAGTTTGCATATTATTTCCCATTCGTCTTTGCAAAACAGCTCCTGCTTTGTCACAGGAGGTGGCGAGTGAAGGTGGTCAGTTCTGGATCGGAGACGTCTGGACCGAGACATTCTAATAAAAGTGAGGGAAGGTTTGTGGTGGACTTTTACTGAAAATAAAAATATGTTTGTGGTGGTGACATCACAAAATACGGAAAAGTTAATTTGTATGAATACTTTTTCAAGACACTGTAGCTACAGTGTGTACGAAGAAGCCATTTCATGACTGTGTTCCACTGAGAGAAGTAAAGATGGACTGGTTCCTGCTTAGAGGAACTTTAAACTTTAAAGAATCAGATTTGTGACATAAACAAACGTCGTACCGTGTCTCGTGTGGAGCACTTCCTTCAGGTCACTGTCCAGCAGCTGAAGTCTCAGGGTTTATCCAGGGCTAAAACTCCACCTTTAGTGGTTTGTTCTGCACCAACATAAATCAGTTATCATCATTTTGCACACACACAAACACTTGATAAATAGAGCCCATAGTGTTCATGGTCAAATATAAGCAATACATTCTGCTGCAAAGAAAAGAATCCTTCATTTCCCTGTTTGAAAATCAGAGATCACTTAATTTATCAATAATCAAATGAACCACAAAAGGAAAACTACACATGAACCAATTTAGTCTAATTTTAGAGGTCTTTGTCTATGCTTCCAGATTAGACCTCATGTCTTTTATATTCATTAAATAATACTTTATACTGAACAATGCATGTTGTTTGGGGGAAATCACAAAAACAAAACAGAGACACAGATGATTTACATTCATATGGCAGAAGACGGCAGCACATGCTACCACAGGGTTTGACTCAGATAACTGTGTACATCATTTCATAATGAGGCCCTTTTTAAATAGTTAAATGGCTCTATCAGTTTTGGTGTTCAAGCATTTGTTCACTAGGAAACTGCCAGTGTCTTCTGTCTCGTTACTTTAACATGCAAGGCTCATGCTCCATCTCAAGTCAATGTCTTTCTGTTTCTAGAACATCAATCAGAGAGATTCTTGTCAAGATCCTCCAGAGATCCTTCATTAATCTAGAAGATATAATCTATTAAAATAAAGAAGTCGTGCAATGATATATCTAAGTGATCAGCCTGTATGAAAATACTGTGATTCTTGTCAAAGATTAAACAAAAATAGTCCCCTTCTTGTGTCCTATTTCATTCAAAAAGAACCGAGGGCCTGAGTTTATTTTAGCCGCACATGGGGCATGTTGAGTAATTCGGTGCTGCCGGTGGAGGGGGACGAGGTGTGTCCGCTGGTCAGGCTCTGGTTGGAGCCCATGGTCCTGGCTCCAGTCCTGAGCAGATCGTGGCTGAACTTGGCCTCTGTGTTTCCCTGCGATGAGAGAAAGTCAAAGCTTTGCCCCTCTGTGTCCCTGTCGCTGATGAAGAGGTCCTCCTCTCCCCACCCTCCACTGTTCTGGGACGTCCCGCCCTGGCCCCCGCCTGAGTCCTGGCTGCAGTGGAAGCCGATGGGGGAGTCGCTGCTGGTGCTGGGTGTGGGAGAGGACAAGCAGAAGTCCTGGCTGTTCTGACGCCTCTGGATCAGGTCCTGCACAGACACGGACTTCCCCAGAGCCCGGTCTCCTGGGACGGTCCCGGAGCAGCAGCTGCGCACCGGGGCCACCAGGGGCTCCAGCTCCAGGCTCATGTGTCTCCTCCAGGAGCCCTCCTCTTTGGGGTTCAGCTTGGTGTTGTTGGTCCCGCCCTGGAGCTGGAAGCCCAGGTGGTCCAGCCCAACCACTCCCGGCCGCTCTGCTGTACCGCTGTCCTCCACATCTCCATGGTTACCCAGACCTCCAACTAAGTCACTTATGTCAGAGGAAACCTCTATAGATGTGGTGCGCACCAGTTTGTTGGTCCCTCCGTTTCTGCTCGGAGGAGGCGGAGGAGGGAGCCTGGCGAGGAGAGGGAAGCCCCCGTCCCTCAGAGTCCCACTGGAGACACTGTTGGGGGTCAGGACGGCCTCGTCCGTGCTCTCTGGGGTTGGGGGCTGGCGGTGGCGGCGGTAGTGGTGGTGGTGGTGGTTGTGATGGGACAGCGGTGAGGGGCTGAAGGAGGGGGGAGGCGGAGAGGAGGAGGCGTTCAGGTTGAGCTCAGAGGGCGGAGCCAGAACCAGGTGCAGTCCTCCCTGCGACAGGTGAGAGCTGGTGGAGGAGCGAGTGGCACATCCAGCAGAGGGCGCCGCTCCACTGCTCAGCTGTGTGGAGCAGGAGCTGTCTTTACTGAAGACCGAGGAGTGATAATCAGACGTCTGCTCCAACTCGAACAGCGGCAGCGACGCAAGAGTGAGAGCGGACGAAGAGCCTTTTCTTAAAACCTGACGATAAATGTCCAGCAGTGAGTCCAGCTTGGACTCTATGGACTGGACCTGGGACAGAAGAGACAGAGGACCGTGTGATGCTGATGTTTCATGGATTCATTACTTAATCATAATTACATATATTTATGAATTACAATACATATTTTTGTCCTTAATACACTGGGTTCATGGACTGCCGTTTTGAATTTGCTTGTGAATTGTACAGATTTCTACACATACCAACTGTAAATGGAAAATATAACTATGACAGTGAACGCCACACACCTGTCTCTCCACTTTGCAGACTCGGCCCAGCATGCTCACGTCCTCCAGCAGGTCTCCGTCAGACAGCAGCTTCTCCCTCAACTTTTTATCCAGAGGAATCTGACCCTTGCCCAGGATCTGGTCCACTCTGAGCAAAACACAGTCTGTTAGAAGTCTATCTTTTCACACGGCACAGAGGAAGTCCAGGAGGCAGCCACAGAAGGAAGGAAGGCTCAGAAGCACAAGAATCATGTTCCAAATAATAAATCTGTTTGGAAAACGAAAACATCTATATAATCATTTTCATGCAACATCATGCAATTGAAATCTATTAAAATCCTCATTAACATAATAGATTTAAATGCATAAATCAGTTCAGTAGTAATTCATTATCAGGAATTGAAGAGTTAGTTGGTTAGAAGCACCAGCAGGGGGCAGTATAATGTGCGAGAAATAGACATTCAGTCACAAACGAATCATAGCCACATAACAGGCAGCTACACAGGCAGCTGGGAGATACACACAGGGAAATTGGACTTATTTTAACCAAGAAAAAAATGCATAACCACTTTTAACACAGTTTGGGGTCACAGCAAATATCAAACACAAATCAGTTACAAATGAATTTTATAACGATATCTGATTTTTACAAAACTAGGACTGGACTACGAAGAACCAGGTATAAATTAGTACTTAAACCAGGATTCAAATCTGGAAGAACTTAAACCAGGACTAACACCAGGAGTTAAAACAGGATTTATACCAGGACTTATACCAGGACTTAAACCAGGACTTAAACCAGGACTTAAACCAGGACTTAAACCAGGACTAAAACCAGGACTTAAACCAGGACTTAAAGATTTAGAAAAAAAAAAACAATCATGATTTTTGGGTTGAAAAATGAGTCTGATCTGTAAGAGAACCACTTTTTTCAATCAATTCTCACGCGAGGGCACATGTTGTGAGATTGTGAAACCCTCAACCAGCCGCCCTGTTGAATAGATCTTTATTGTTGTAGCTTCATTTAGAAACGTTATACTCAATTAAAAATATTCCAGAAAAGAACAATCTCACAATAACAGAGTATTTTAACATTCAAACAGAGAGTGACATGCCCAGAAGTCAATGAAACTTAAAAGTTAGTTATGAACAAAATGCAATTGATTGGATAAGGTGAGGGGGAGGGGAGTAGGGGAGTTGGGGAGTAGGGGCGGGGGTGGGGGGGTGCTGACCCCTGGGTGGAGTTCTTTCGGCCCTGGCTGTAATACGGTGGGAATGAGGGAGAGGAAAACATCCGAGACCGGCTGCTCAGCGACTGGGAGCCTACAATCATGTCCAGCCTGTGGAAGACACACACATGCACACACAAACACACACACAATGTTCAACACAACTCCGACAGAAAGAGACCACTGTGTTGTACCCTTGTTGTGTGAAGGAGAGGTTCACCTGCTGCTGTCAGACTGCACAATACAATGTATTTTAGTATAGCCCTAATCCACAACAGTAGTTATCTGTTTGTTCCAAGTTAGTAGTTTAGTTTCCAAGTTTGGGCACTTAAGTCGCCTTTAAGAGCAGCCATAGCTTCAGGTGTAATAATAATAACAATAATAATGCATTGGTTTTATATAGCGCTTTTTTTGGACACGCTTCACATGTCGTTATTCATTCACTCCATACATGGTTGTGATAAACTATTTATGTAGCCACAGTTGCCCTGGGGCACACAAGCGAGGCAACCAGTATGTACGGCCCCTCTGACCACCACCAACCATTCACACACACACCAGACTCGTTCTAGGCAATGGGGGTGAAGTGTCATGCCTAAGGACACAACGACAGTTTGGCACTTTACAGCCGCCTCACTGCATCAGGTGTTCCCAGAGGTTAAGTGTTTTGCCAAGGACACAACGACAGCAGACATCAGTGGGAGTCGTGGAGAAGGTCCCGTGGTGGGCTCGAACCCACGACCTTCTGGCTCAAAAATCCTCCTATATACCTTTAAGATGAAGACAGCAGGATTTGGTTTGATTCGTTCACAACATTTCACTTTGACAAGACTCTTTCTGTTGGACAAACATGTAATATTAATAAAAACAGATCAATAAACGACCCCGGCTTTAAGGGGGGGGCATGTTGATTTGATTTGCATAGTAACATTGTTATAATTAGCAGCGGACAGAATAAATTACGCATTAGGAAGCCTAATGAGACACAATTTACACCCGTAATGTTTTGAGTCCAGCTGTTTCAGAGTAATAATCAGTTCCTGTCTCACTTGCTGGTCCCAGGCCACAGCAGCGAGCATCACACCAATAACAATGCTCTACAACAGAGGAGCCATGAAGATACTGGACAATAAGGCTGCAGTCCTGAGTGCGTTCATAGTTCCTCTGAGGTCTGTGGGCTCCATCACACCAGGCTCCTCCAGTGGAAATGTGAAAGTTGTCCTCAGGAGACCCACATTTGGAAAGTTTCTTCTCCGTCCAAGAGGGAAAAGCACTAGAACTCTTTAAGTCCTCAGCTTTAACTGAACTCGGAGGGGGCTGGTTTTAACCCTTGTGCCATCCACGGGTAAAATTGACCCACCACAGTGATAAAATAATACCCTAAATGAATTTGGATGACTTTCCCTAGCTTGACCTACCCTAGGTTAATTAGACCCTGTTAGACACTAATTTAGGGCATTTTCCTTCTACTTTTAATCTCAGTAGAAGTTATTTTGACCCAAGGATAGCACAAGGGGCACAAACTGAATCAATTTTTAAAAACAAGCCAGGTGTGTGAGCATCGATGGGTTGGGGAACACCTTTGTATAACGTGAATGTGACAATGAATGTATTTTTCATTTCACTAAAAGCCCTTCTAGGCACAGACATTGCAAATTAGCCTTGGTTATAAATAGTGTTTCACATGTTGATTGTGTACACTTGTCACAAAAAATAAAAAAAACAACATAAAATAACCCCATTGAAAGTGTTTCATAATCAGATTTAGTTGGACATTGCGAGTGGTCTCTTTCTGCAGAACTGGTGCAGTGCATTTCTCATTCACTCATGTGTTAAAAAAAAACATGCAGACAAACGTGTGTGTTTGAAAGCTTCGCTGAGTGTTGTACCGTGTCTGAAGGCTCTTAATGCGACAGAGCATGTCCAGGTGTCCGGCTGAGTACTGCTCTATCACGTCCTTCACGTCGTACGGCCGCAGCGTCTCTTTGAACTTCTTTTTGGCCACGTGAAACTTCATAATCCTGGAGACATCAGAGCAGTTCATGAACTCACCACAAGAGGGAGCTGTGAGGCAACGAAAGCACCTGCTGTCCAGGCCTGGATCAGGTCTTTAAAACAGATTCAGGTTCATTTTGTTTGCCGTTTGCAGTAAAGCCATGTTCACCAACTAGGTTGAAAGAATATCTGTTTGGCTGTGAATACAACGGATTCTATTTGGTACTGGATATCTCTTTTTGCATGTATGTATGTACTTCATTTATGTAGCACATTTTTACAGACCAAGGTCACCCAAAGCACTTTACAATGTTCAGATTTCCGATAATTTTCCATTCTCTCCACACACGGTGATGACGGAAGCGAGCCGTCAAACACACTGGCATCAAAGCCTCCAACCAACACCATTCACTCACTCATTACATTCAGATCTATTGTGCATGTTTTTAGTGGTAGGGGAAACCGGAGCACCCGGAGGAAACCTACGCAGACACAGGAAGAACATGCAAACTCCGACCACGATTTCTAACTCAGGACCTTCTTTCTGAGACGCAGGAGTGCTATCCACTCAGCCACTGTGTCGCCACAATATCCCCTCATTATACATTTAAGCATAGTTTTAAACTGTTATGAAATCATTGCCTTCTTTATCTTTTTTATCTGTCTTCCGAGCAAGAAGATGATCAAACCCATGACCATTGGGCCCAAAGACCAATGCTATACCAACAGAGCCATTGCTACCCCTAATACTTAATATAGTAGAATGTAAACCCTGTTAAATCCAGTGGTTTGTCCTCACCTCACAGCTCGAATGACCGTCTTGACCGAGGGCAGCAGGTCCTCCACAGAGATCTCGCAGTGGCAGCCCTTGTCGTCAAAGGCATCCTCGGCGGCCATGTTGGAGTCCGCTGCTCCGATAAAACACACACATGAGAAGAGAGGATTAAATCTATTTTTCCTCCATAAAACTCTTCACAGCGAGAGCATGGAAAACAGATTAATGAATGGGATTATTCCCAAGGTCTGGGGCTGAATTTGCATCCCACACAGTCACAGAGAGATTTGCACAAAATACAGTTGAAAGAGTATATTTTTTATTTTTGGTAATTTGCCAACTCATAGCCAGGTGATTCACAACAGCTTAATTATATCTGCTTCTTGGTTGTGGATTTATCTGAATTGAAGCAGTAGCTGAATGCTGGTATGTTTAGGAATAGCGGGTGAATGTAAGCTTTTGTGTTTATGAAAAATAAATAAATAAATTTAAAATTACTGAGCATCGTACTTATAATAGGACTACAGTTACTTCAAATGTAATTGTAATATGTTTTACGCTTTACATTGGGACCGGTTAAGAATCTAAACAGTTATGTGTAGGCAGTTTTGAGCAGTCATTTGGAAGTTCTGAAGTGAGTCTGAGTTCCTGATGAGTGATTGTGTGATTCTTAAGAACGTAACTTTACCTGAGAAATTCCCTTCCAAAAAAATAAATAAAAACATTTAGAGGCAATACTTTTATTTGAAAAGACAAAAACCTGTCTGAGAGTGATGTCATAGTGGTACAACGACATCCAACTCTGCCAGTTTGTGCCAGAAGTTCTTATGATTATTGTGGATCTAAAAAACAACTCCTGGTCTTGTTGTAACATGGTCCATTTTACAGAATATGTCTGTCCTGTCAAAATAAACCTGTCACGGAGTGGATTTTATTTTTTCAATAAATTCTCAAGCATCCCCAGACTTTTTCCAGACTTTTTTAAAACTGATATTTTTTTCCCAAGACCTTAACTTCATGTTCTTGTATACTTGCCTACTGCCTTCGAAAACATGCAACAACCCATTTCTGTTGACCACTAGGCTCGCTATGTGTCAATAGACCTCAGCAGTGACATCACGAACATGTGCCAGACGAAGCAAGAGTTGATTGGACATAATTCCATTTGGCTAATACAGTACATGACCAGTTAGTAAAATTATAGTTTTACAGTCTACCTTCCTTTTTCTCATTTTCCAAAGCCTTTGAGCATACTGTAAAATTCTACCATACATTTTCCCCATACTTTATTAAGAATTTCACAAAAAATTCAAGACTTTTCAAGGTCTGGAAAACAGTGTTTCAAAATTCCATACTTATTAAGATTTTCAAGACTTGCGCCAGCACCCTGTCTTTAGCACTCCTACATTTTAGGTCCCTCCATCATTTCACCACACGACACAAACGCATCTGTCTTCTCAGTAATCGATGAATGAACGAAACCCCATGAACTCTTTCTCACCGATGATTCACACCAGATCTGGCGGCGACGGTCACACCGGCTTGTCAGTGGTGATGACACAGAGAGCGGCTAACCACGCTCTGACCAGGTTGGTTTTGGCTTGCGCCCCGTATTGATTTGCCTCATCCAGCTGGAGCCTCCAACAGCCCATATGGCTCACCACTCCCACCTTCCATCAATCCATCCGTCCACCCACCCACCCACACCCACTGGCAGCTGCCCAACTGGGGCCTGCTGGGCTGCCAATGGTAGTCCAGGGCTCGCTGATGCCACAATTAACATTCCTCCGTTCACAGATGAGAGCATGTGGCATTTACAGGGTGTTGGACAGTCATTCACAAATTGAGATCATAAGTAGACGAGTAGCAGAATAATATTTATCAAAAAGCCAATCACAGTGAACAAGCCTAGTAGAATACAATACAATACGATTCATTCTTGTATAGCCCTAAATCACAACAGTAGTAATCTCAGAGGACTTAACAAAACCATTGAAATCACCAACACAGATCAGAGAATCAAATATTAAAGGAGCTATACCTGTTTCTGCAAGGTTTGAATGTTTAGCTCCGCCCCTCAACTCACTCACAGGCTTCTCATTTCCCCTACGCTCTCCTGCCACGGAGCCATCTAGTTTTATTTGCGATCTGATACATAACATTAGCATGAGCGCAACTTCTTGTAAGCTGTACAACAATCACTGATGAAATGGTACAAAAGCAACGCACTGCTAGCAAAATATATAACTGAAAGATTACCACTAGTTCTGCGTCCGAATGTGGTCCGAGCATAGATAGTCCGAGCATAGATAGTCTGAGCATAGATAGTCTGAGCATAGATAGTCCGAGCATATAGTCCGAGCATAGATAGTCCGAGCATAGATAGTCCGAGCATAGATAGTCCGAGCATAGATAGTCTAAGCATAGATAGTCCGAGGCGGTCCCGCAGGTCTCTCCCATAACAAGACTCTCCAGAGGATACGATGTAAGCTAGCGATGTTTACCCAGGCTTGATTTCTTCTTTGATCATTTTTTCTCGCTTTAGTTCCCTCTTCTCTTCCTCACTGTTGTCTCGTTTGGGCTATTTTTCTGTGTATGCAGTTACAGCAAGAGGAGTTATAGCCAATTCTGCTAACATGCTACTGTGTTTAGCAGCGCGGTAGAGGCTAGAGGACACAGCCTCGTTCTGTGAGTGGAGGAGAGTGAGCGTCACGCTAAAGTCTCTACTCAGCACCTGAATTCATACAAAAGCTGAATCAATGAGCTCAAGTTTTCAATTAAATTACGGATTATAGTACAACTTGTATGTAGTAATAAGCATTTTTATGAACTCATAAAAAAAAATAAAAAAAATCGGGTATAACTTCTTAAAGGCAAAAGAATATAGAACACATACATTGGTCCATAGGGAGAGACCAACGTGCATGAATATCCATATTGGATCACGGCAGAATAGAAAATCACTGGATGGACTGGGACAATGCAAAAATAGTAAGAACGGAAGAATATACAGTAAATACAATAGATGGATACGAGAACACTGCCTAAAAGAATCTGTCAAAGTCATAATCATAACTGCCTGACTTCACTTGGTCTTCTTATGTTTAAGGCTTATGTTAGAAGGTTCTTTTAATAATTCTTCTTTTCAATAAAACAGACGTTGGGGAAACAGGAAGAGCTTTCAGCCCCAGAAGGAAGAGACATCAGAGGGAATGCGAAAGCAAAATGGCAGCGCGACTAACAAGATCAACCGAGGAAAAAGCAACACAGGAAAACCTCAAATCAGCAACATCTGATCACTGCAGAATAGAAAATCACTGGATGGACAGGCACAATGCAAAAATAGTAGGAACAGAAGAATATAAATAAAAAAGATAGATACGAGAAAAGATTGAAATACAGCGGAAACAGGTCAGGTAATAAAGCTAGCTTCTTCAAATTTTTTGTCTTATTAAAAGAACCTTCTAAGCCATAATGACATATTTCATCCTACCAATTGACTGCATATAAGGATAGCTCCAGTTCTTTACCACTGAAAACTAAACACTAGATCCCAAAAGTCTACATCTTGAGGTGACACTTTTTTTTGTAATTGCCTCTTCTCACACACACAGACACCTTTTTCCCTCTCTTTCAAAGCTGGACTTTGACATTTGCCAGTCCACTCTGTTAATGATGTTTGAATGAAGGCCATTTAGCAGCAACGCTAGCCTGGGCCTCCCCATATCCGCTTTCTGGGATAAATTTAGCAGTGGATACAAAATTGCTTTGATAGACAGTCCCTCTTGCATATTCGAACGCAAACAATTCAATCAGAAGTTACAACAAAGATTGAAACAGTTTTTTATGTTTTTTGTTCATTCCTTTTCACCCAGTGTCCCGCACTGATGGGACTGGACTGAACTACACGGCCTGGACTCGAGGACCAGGTCCCAGTCTGCCATCGGGAGTTGGCGGGAGTTGTTCTGTGACACCACTTGAGAATTGAATATACTGCACTAGCCATAACAACAATGATAATAATATAAATAATAATACATCATACTTTTTTGGACACTCATAGACGCTTTACAGAAGAATAATAAATGGCATCGGTCTGGGAAGGAAAGTGATAAAACCTTCACAAGTTAAATCAATCAACTTGTGCTTTCCAGGAAACATCTCGTGGTGACGCTCTTAATAATTGTATGTTCTCACACACAAACAACATTTTCACTTTCTTTCAAAGCTGGACCTTGACATTTGACAGCCCACTCTGTTAATGATGTTTGAATAAAAGCCATTTCTTTCGACTCTGTGTCAGAGTCCTTCAGCTGCTTCAGTCTCAGTCTCGGTCCTGGATCTATGGTCTGTCCAAGTCCTGGATCTATGGTCTGTCCAAGTCCTGGATCTATGGTCTGTCCGTCTGTAGGAGCAGATGCCTTTTCAATACGGACCTCCCCGAGATTTCTCACTTTTTTCTCACTGGGTTTTTGAGTCGTTCCTTGCCGATGCAGGAGGCTCTAACCACAGTGAGGACCTGGTACATTTAAAGACCTTCAAGGACATTTTATGACATTCATTAATATTGCATTTCTTGTGCTGGAACTGTTTGATTCTCTGATCTAAACGGATCGACAACCTTGTAAAGTCCTTTGAGATGACTGCAATTTATCTTCTATCTTTCAATTTATCTTCAAAGATTTGGCTCGCAGTTTGACCTCAGTCTACATACATTTGTTATACTTACCTCAATTTATAATGACAAAGAAAAAATTAAAACATTTTTTTTACAGTTTTAATCAAAAAGTGAATAAATGGACATAACAGAATTTGTTTTTCGGGACCAGATTGTGACCAATCACAGCGGACCACTGGCCCCCACTTTCTTGAGAAAATATACAGGTCTCTTGATAGCACAGACAGCTGAGGCTAACCTGAAGCTTACAGTGTCTTCGTTACCGGTTACTGCTTACACAGCGAAACAGCCATCCAAAAGAAAGTCTCGTTTCCGGTTCAATCATTCTATGGTCACGCCATCCACGTTCAAATGTGAGATCAATATTGTGAGACGTGAGCTCCGTAAACAATTAGCACATGAGCACAGGCTGAGTGGGAGGGGGGTAGTGGGGGGGCTAGAGCTTCGTGAGTGTGGGGAGGGCGAGCAGAAAGGGCAAGGCCAGCGCTCACATTCGAAAATATCGCAAAGTGAGTTAGTGCAGCTTTAAAATGATAATAAAAAAATAACTTGACGTAAGCTAAACATAATTTCTTCCATCGCGTACAAATGGTTGAGCTTACCGTCCGTGGTGGAGCGGGACGTGCTCTTGAGGCGCAGAGATGGTCTGAAGCGAGTGCGGTCGTTGAAGCTCCAGCTCTTCTGCACTTTGGCCGGACTCGTGCCCTCAGTACCAGCGTCCGCCACCGGGGAGCGCCGATCGTTCACCGAAGACGTCTGCCGGTTCTTGATGCTCTGACCCCGTGGGCTGGCCATTCGCACGCGCTCTTTGAAACTCAACTTTTGGCTGAAAACGAAGCCAAATAAAAAGCAGGTGTGGTGTTAAAGAGACATGAGCGAGATCGGAACTTTTATCAGGTCCGGGTTATTATCGTTTGCTTTCAAAGATCATTGCAAGATTCACATAGCGACATGCAGCAGAGGCATGGACATAACAGAAAAGACAGAATGTTAGGTGTGATGTTGAATTATGCTGAAAAATTTATATATCTTGAATTCAGAATAGTTACACATTTTAATGGTAGTAAGAACAATGTTTTAGTTTAACTCTAAATACATAACTGTATCTTTCAGAGCCTGACAATACGATGAATAGCTTGATATGCATGACACAATACATATCTAGATAAAGGGGATGATATCATAGGAATTAATAACAAGTGAAGGCTTTTGGCCCCTTTTCTAACACTCATTTGAACAAAAATTTTGTATTTATTAAAGATTATATTAAAACAAAATTGATTTACTAATTTATTTTTTAGCTTAAAAAAATCACAATAATAAATCTATATTACTAAATAAAAATGTATATTGCTACTCATAAAAAATATATATACATCTTTTAGCACACCCCTACATAATAGTAAGTATCACAGAATAATTCAACCTTATTTTGTATAAAATTCTGAATTCTAGAAAATATACATAATCTCTTTAAACTATGTCTGCAGTTATGTACTGGAAGTGGGTACGTCACTAAAAGGTTGTATCTTTGCTTGGAAAGTTCCATGGTGTGGACACTGAACTCAATTATCTCACTGAAGACGAGACTGTATCGACTCCAAGAGAGATCAGCTCTGTGGAGGGGCGCTCCTGCTGTATATTAATGTTCAATAAATAGATTGAAGTCTTTTACTATGCACGGTTCACTGAGATGTTTTTTTTTTCAGATCCAACAGGGATTTTGACATGGATTTGCCAAAACACGATTCAACTGAAATATCAATTCAAAACTTTTTGCCCTCAAGAAAAGTTGCATTCTTTGTGTTAATTTTGACCCTTAATAACGAGCCTGAGGACATTTACTTTGGCATTTCATGTTTTTGAATGTGAAATAGATAATAATAAAGTATCAAACATGTGGATAATTATGAAATGGAATGGTCTAGTTAAAGACATGCAGCTGGAAAGAATGGAAAATGACAGGAGACAAAAATACAATAAGTATTTTAAGTGTAGTGAGTTTGAGGGCGATTGGACAGATGGGGTGGGCCAATTTATTCCTGAGGTAATATAATTGAAGGTGGACCAAATGTAAAACAGTTTTTTCTACTAACTACTGAATATTTTGATTAAAAATTAATAATCAAATGAATAAAGTGAATAAAGATTAATGTGTTTTATAAATGTTGATCAACAACATCAACTGAACAGATGGATCCTCAACGCACCATCTTTTTTCTCTGGATCGGCACAAATATTTGGAACCAGAATCTCAGGAAGAGCCAATATCTATTCATTTACTGAGTTTTATTACACAAGGAAAGTCCCAGACAGAGGGGAGCTATGGTACATGTTCTTACTGAGAGGGAAAACCTCTCACTAAGAACATGGAGATGGAGATCTCTGGAGATGGGATGGAACCAGACACTAACGTTCTTCCTGATTATAATTATTTTTGTATGTATTTATCCATCATCCAAATGTCACTATTGTTAATAGTTTGACCATATGTTTTTTTTTTACTTTGTCTCTTTCTAAATGTTTAATTTTAGCAGAGGGAAGGCGTGGGGTTTGAAGAAGCATTTACATTTATTTATTTATTATTTTATTTATTTTTATTTTTATTTTGTATTTTATTTATTGTATTTATTTTATTTTATTTATTATTGTTGTTCTTATTTTGTGTGTTTGTTTATGCAATGATCTTTTCTAATCCTTATTGTTCTGTAAATTGTTGTATATACAGTACAGTATATGTGTGTATGTTTACATTTTTGTATGTTTGTATTTATGTGTAGGACCCCCTCAAAAATGAGAGGATTCATTCAAGGGGCTTTCCTTAAATAAACTTCAGGACCTTCTTGCTGAGACGTGAGAATGTCCTGGGTTCATGACATAGCTTTCCATCACCAGGTTTTGACAAATTACATGTTTTATTTTTAAACATAATTCTTCTGGACCAATCTTGGAGCTTTAGTATTATAGCAGTCAGTCACGATACCTGACACCTGATTGTTAATAAACCACAAATATACCATGGACATTTCCAAGCAAAACACATACAGAGGTGACACAGTGCAGCTTTCAGTGGCATTCTCAATTGCCCTCTGTGATTATGAGGTGCTGGATGTAGCATAGATTTATTCTAACATGTATTGTGTGGTGAAAAGTGGTGATGCTGTTGTGGCTCATGGATCAATGCAACATGCAGAGATAATGATATTGGTAACACAGAAGCAGCCGTATGCCGCTCCCCATGCAGCAAAACGTTCAGGCTTCTCCTCGCATGCAGTCAATAATCGATACAATGAGATGTTAGAGATTGAAGGTTATGAGCAACAGCTTGATAAAACATGTCGCCAACACATGAAACGCCTGGTACAAATGCCACGGCCTCCACTTTACACTCTATGGAGATTCTGCACACTATTGCCACTATTTCACCACAGTTCAAGTCGACTTTGTGGGGTTTTATTGCCTGGCAGAGCTAATAAAACTGTCTCTTATTCTTGCTTCAATCCAAATGTCACTCAATCATGATGGCGAACACAACAACACCAGGAGAAGGCGGGGAGAAGGCAATGTTTGCGTACAAAGCTGAAGAAATGTAATGTAATGTAATACTATTTGATTAATGTATGAAAGAAAGAATTAGGTTCTTCAATACCAGACAATATCAGGTTAGCGATGTTGTTACCTAATAATGTCTGGTATAGAAGAACCTAATACTTTTAATTCTACTAAGAAGACGATATGAATCTCCCTAAGCTATTTGATATATGAACTGGCAAAAGGAGCTTTGTACAGTCATACAGTATATATATGGACCAGTACTCAAACCGTTGCACTTCTGATTGGATGCTAAACTGTATTTTGTTGCATTGTTCTGAAGATTTTAATGACAATAAAGTTAAATATAATCTAATGATACTCTAAACTTCATCTATGTCACAAATTTGTATGATATAATACTGTGATACGACCATAGAATTAATGACACATAATCCAACATATGCGATCACACTAAACAATTATTCTAATCTTAAAAAGGTATATAGGAGGATTTTCTACTTCCTAATTGTAAATCATTCTGGTGATACGGGCTCCACAAACAAGACCAGGGAGTTTTTTTCAAGTGGGCGATTCTTTCCAAGACTTTGGGAAAATCTTCCTAGATATCGTAAAATTTTTCCTTTTCTGTTTTTTGTCAATTCCTGTTTTTTTAGTGTGACCAACCATCAATACCATGAGTCCTTACAAGCTACAACTTCTAAAATCAATCTGAGGTTTCCATCATATTGCACTGTTTTATTATGAATTCATTATAAAGTCCATTCATATTTGGCACATATAGAAGGCCTTAGGGTCATGTATTCAGGGTATGGTTTTAAAAGCCCCATCACTACATGGAACAACGCAATTTTAGTAAATAAAAACAAGATCTGAAGCTTAAACGGTGACGTAGCAGATCCGCGTTTAACATTAAATTACTGTGGGGGAAGGTAATTTGCAAAATGGAACAAAAATACGAGAGTGATTAAGCTTGTTTGGGAGATTCTTTCGCCAAATCGCTAATTGTCCATGAAATCCCAACGGAGAAAAGCACAATATGAGTGTGATTACAAAAGCAGGGAGAAGGAACAACAGGTTAAAATGGCTCCGTTATGAGAATCAGCAGGTGGGACGCAACAAAGCACGATTAACCCACGACGACTGTCTCTGGCAGGGGCCGCAAAGGTGCACTATGTAACTTCATACTGGAAGACTAAGAACAGTCACTTACTTCTTACAGTGGGAAGACAAAATGAATGATTTTGAGCTTCATTTTTTAGCATTACAACATTGGATAGTAGCGGCTTATAATCAGGTGCGGTTTATAATCCGGAAAATGCGATTTATAGTCTAGGATTTTCCGGACTATACAGCTTTTTACTTACCATTTTAATAGATTGAATATGATTGAAATCCAATTCATTAGTATCACCCATCATCATTTCCCATTATTAAAAACCTCAACAACAAACTTCAAGTTAAATTAGTAATTGTAACTTTGCTTTCCTTCTCAGCAAATCAACAAGAAAAGTTACAAAGTGCACCCTAACACAATTATTTCGCTGTGTTTTGTTCATTGATTCAGCCCTACAAGGTTAAAAGGAAGGTTAAATCAGGCAAAAGTAGCACATTGCTCAAGCGGAGAGTTGATTGAGATTTTTCTGTTTTTGGACTTCACAATACTGGACCGCAGCCTCCTATAGAGTCCCATGCACTGAGGATTAGTCAGCATTCCCAAAGAAAACGTCACGTGAGGCAGGGCTGGGTACCTATGTTTCCGAGTGGTACATCTCCTCAGTAGCTTCTGCTTATTATTATGAATGAGACTAAAACCAAGGGGAAATACACATATGGGATTACATGGTGAACACTGGACTGACTTAAGCACCTACAGGTATGTGAACACGACAGAGCTTTGATGCGAAGCGAATATAGACAATACATTAATGACAGTTTCCAGACCTTGTTTAAACAAATTTTTAAAGAAGAATGTTGGTTGATTTGCATAAAAATGACATATGTTCATAACCAACTAATTTCAGCATGACTCTCTATGAATTTTACAAATTAAAATCATTGACATATTTGATAAGCAACCATTTTAAAACTGGGGTCTCGACATTTCCGACAAGAAACATAAAATTAAAAAGTATTAAAATCCATCTGGCGAGTTCCTGGCTCTAAAACAGTTGACTAGTTTTCTCATGTATCTACTGTATATTTGACCTATCAGTATATTCAGAGCCCTTCAGCCAATCAGCTCTCATCCCAAAGTATCAAATAGTGACTCACAAGGTTCTTTTTAACTTGTTTGCAAAGGACGGCCGCCGTTTTTGTTTAGGGCTATACAAAAATGAATGGAATTGAATTGAGTTAGGATTGGCCAATCAGATGCCTTCATTCGCAGGAGGGGGGGGGGGGGGGGGGCAACTCCAGCTCCCCTTAGCAACCATCCTAGCGACATCCTCAAATCTATCCCTGTGAATCTAACCCCCGTAGGAACAAATGCTCCAGCTTGCTTACGCATTAAAGCTAACACTATTGAATTGAACTTGAATTAGAACTTATAGAACTATGAACTCTTTGTATGTCTTATACCTAGAATATTTTTGGGGGTGATTTTTTTTTTTTTTTTCACAGAATATTATGTAGAAGAAGAAACATTACTCATTATTTTTTGGTATTCAAAATTATAGTGATTCTTTGGAAAGTCAAAAGATTACATATTTGGTCGAATCATATTTTCAGAAACCGGATTTGCTTTTACTAAACTAACAAAATCCTATTCTATTTTCAGTCACTAAGCAAATATGCGACTGATGGGAGGGTTAGCCACCACAGTCCTGGTTTGTGCATGAAATTAAAAAGCCTGAAGGATACATTACTTTGACAAAGATATTCCCTGTGTTGCTGTATTTCTGAGCCACTGACATTTAGACGTGTCACTGCGGCAGTAATTGAGCAAAATGAACGTGTGAGCCACCATTTGCAAAAGGCTACGATTTGGTGACTCAGGCCCTTCATGTCGATATCCCTTTTTATGTCTGCTCAGCCGGGACCTTCGAACAGGCTCTGCTGCTTTCTGTTCATTTAGTTTCATTGTTGCTACTGGAAAAAAATAACAAATACAAAAATAAAATAAAAACATGTGGTGGCACTTTGACGCTGGAGATGACGCGCGCTTAGTGTTACTTGAAATAAAGTAATAAAATAATGAACTGTGAAACTCTTGTGTCAAGTTGGAATGTCCATCCATTTCATAATAAACTTATAGAACAGAATAACAAAAAAATAACAAAACAAAATGACTTAACTTAAATCATTAACAGCAACACATGTAGCACGGTAAAAAAACTGTGTCCTCAGCACCACACCTGTACCGTGATTGTGGCTTCTTTTTAATACTGAAAGCAGAAAACCCTCCCAGAGCGCCCTCTGCTGTATTTGCTCCACCAAACAAGTAGCAAAGGTTTTGTGGCAGCTCCGCGGAACCAATTTTTATGTTTAACAGGATGGGATTGTGGAGAAGCCAGAGAGCCGCTGTTCCCAGGGATAAAAAAGAAGTAATAATTCTCATATATAGCAATAAAATACTATAATACTAGCAGGTAGAAATAAAATGCATTTCGATTCAGGGATAAAGATAAAGAGTAGAGACAAATAATGTGTATTTCTGTGTATTTTATATCTTTTTTTGTTGAATGTGTATGCTTGAAATACATTTATTGCATTGATTGATAATCTGCCAAGCAACAAGGTGCACTGTATTGTCAAGGGAAGATCATACTGTATCATCAAGTCTCTGAAAGGCGTTTGGAATTTCTCACATTTTTGCAATAAAATCAGCATCAAATGTGATATGATCTTTTTCAAAAACACACAGATGAAAAACACAGTGACTAAAACCATCCAAACATTTATAGGTTGTCATATTTTTAATGAGGATAACATGCAAACGATGACAGAAGGGGGAAGAATGCGTGTCTGAATCTTCTGCCTCAGGAGAGCAATTAATGGCGTCTTTTAAAAAAAAAACATTAAACTGTTTTTGAGAAAGATCAGATCATATTTAATGCTGATTTTAAGCAGAAATGTGAGAAATCTTGAGGTACTTTTTCGGGCCACTGCTGTAACTGTTTTTGTTAAACCGGAGTTAGAGTTAGAAATACTTTTTATCCTATGTTCTGTTTCTGTGCTTATCCAACAAAATGTCAATCTGTCTTTTTCCCCACATACAATAATTTCAAAACATCCAAATAAATACAAAATACAATGAAATAATGAATTTAGAATGAATTAAATAATAATAAATAAGTGACATACCTTGTGTTGGACTCTCCCTGCTCCTTCCTAGTTAGTCCAAGAAAAGGCAAAAAGGAGCAAAAGTCAGAAATCATCTTTTATTGTTAAAAAAAGTGTGTTATTATTAGCTGCGAGCTAAAAAGGCAAGACCTGTGGAGTTGCTCGACTAATTTTTTATTTTGCAAACTGCATTTTGAGATAAATAGCCAATTTTAAGAATATATAATGATTGGCGCAAGTATCAAAACACAAAATATACAGACATCCAATTGTTTGTGGTAATCTGAGAAGTAATTTAAATGAGGAGACACACACATGGCTATGTTTTAATAGTGTAATATTTGAACTTGTATAATGTAGACTAGGGCTGGGCGATAAAACGATAATGATATATATTGCGATAGACACGTGTTCGATAGCGATAGAAAACGGGGTCGATAGAACTTCGATAGTTTAACTTCACTCCGTTGGAAAAACGGGAAGAATACACAGGAAGTAAAGCCGAGTCAGAAGCGCGCAGCATTGTGGGGGATGTAGGCAGAGGCTTCTCGACCAATAACAGCCGAGCAGGAACCACAAAACTTTCAGGGAAATGAAAAACACCAACAACCGCACCATGCGTCCATGGATCTATAGATTGTGTTTCAATGCCGTGTCAATGGTTATGCACGTCCGTGAGCGGAATAACATGTGCGGCGGCAGAGGCAGTGGACAGACCCGCTGTATTCGGCGAAAGCAAGAGATTAACTTTTTCCTCGGGAAGCATGTGCAGTTTACAGAGAGCCGCACGGAGCGGTCACGGGGACACAAGACCCTCAAAAACAGCTAAACCAGGAGCTAAACCAGGACTAAACCAGGATTAAACCAGGACTAACAACGGGGGACACAGTGTGAACATATTCCTCCAGCCTCATTCCCCCGTGACTGTAAACAAGGCTGCTTAGGTTTGCTAGCCCACACGACAAATGTATTTATTTAGGTAAAAAAACATTAAAATCAATATATATCGTTATCCACCGATATGAATGACTTATATCGTGATATAGTTTTCAGCCATATCGCCCAGCCCTAATGTAGACCTTTTTTTTTGTGGCATAAATAAATACATATTATGTAAACTAAGCTGAAAAGTGCCTTATCTTTTATTTATATTTTTCAGTGAGGATCTGGGACATTTCTGAACATTTTTGGACATTGCTGATCCTTCTCCCTATGGCCCAACGGCTCCTCTGTGTTTGTTATTAATACATGTCCTGTGTCTCTCTGATTTCTCTGATCTATTGTTGAGGAATCGACAACATTGTAAAGTCCTTTGAGAGGACTGCTGTTGAGATTTAGGGCAATACAAAAAAAACGTTGAATTGAATTTAGATTAATAATAAGCTGGATATTTAAGATGCCAGACTTCACCAATTTGAACTATAGATGAACTTATATGGTCTATTATTTGAACCTTGAGCCTGGAATAAATAAATGTATTATTATTGTTCTTATTATTATCATATTTGGTAAGTAACATTCTTGATGTGGGGGCGACAGTAGCTCAGTTGGTAGAGCATTGGCCTTCAGGCCTGAAGGTTGTCGGTTCAATTCCCACCTCTACACCTTCTCCACCGACTCCCACTGATGACTGCTGTCGTTGTGTCCTTGGGCAAGACACTTAACTCCACTTTGCCCAAAAGCCCCCACTGAAAGATCAAGGCTATGCTCACACTCAAAGAGCAGCCGTCCTCCTGTGGACTCACCACCTGCAGAGGGTCAGTGAGGGGCTGGTGCTATGAGACTTGGGTGGCATCTCTGATTGCCACCCCCCTGACCCAGAAATGGATTAAAGGGTAGAAAATGGATGGATGGATGGATGGACATTCTTGATGTTTGGAGTGTAAGACAAAACAATGTGCCCTGAATGAAACATATATAAAAAACCGGATTTTCATGTTAACAATTGCTTTTTAAACCAACTTTTATCCATCACTTTTTCTACCACTTCCTGCATATAATCCATAGGCAAACACAGGTCTTGTCCTTTGAGCTGGTGAATTTGCGTTTGATCTTTTCTGAGTAAAATCTATAAAAATCATTGCAAAGTTAATGTGGCGAGCTCTTGACACACGCATGCAGGTCAAGCTAAGTCCACACTCGCAATCACGGCTCATTCCATTACTTTTATAGATCCGGCTGCTTTCCGAGCGAGTAGTAACAGTCGCGGAGTCCTTATGCTTGTATCGCGAGCGAATGAGCGTTACCAATATTTCCAGGCTTTTGTTTGATTTATACATATTTCAGCTCAGCCAAGAGGAAACGGCAGCAGGGGCAGCAGTTTAAAAGCAGCAACTTTCAAAATGTTCTGATTGGTCCATTGAACTTGGCCTCGGTGTCATAAACATATTTGACTTGTATAGAGCTGAGTCAGGATTAGGAGAGAGACAAGTGAACCGCTCAGCATTCCCACTTTGGTTTCATCGATTGTGATTTTCTAGAAAGACAGTGGGGAGTGGATGGGGAAAAATGATAAAATATAAGGTAGTTTGTGCTTGATAAAGGGTTTTTTGTCTTAATCTGAATACATTGTCCATCCATCCATCCATTTTCTTCCCCTTAATCCATTTCTGGGTCGGGGGGTGGCAGTCAGAGCTGCACCCAGTACACAGAGCACCAGCCCCTCACTGATCCTCCTGCAGGTGGTGAGTCCACAGGAGCTGAGATCTTTCAGTGGGGGCTTCAGGCAAAGTGGGGTTAAGTGTCTTGCCCAAGGACACAACGACAGCAGTCATCAGTGGGAGTCGTGAAGTAGGTCTTGAGGTGGGCTCGAACCCACGACCTTCAGGCTCAAAGGCCAATGCTCTACCAACTGAGCTACTGTCGCCCCAGTATGAATACATTGTGATTGTCTTAAAACCAGATTTGCCAATGGGACAAAGCCAATTAGTCCTATTTCAAGAACTTTTGCTTTATTTTCTCATTCCAATGAAGATATTTCTTGTATCTTTTTAAATCAATAAAATGCCCCATTGGCAACTCTTGTTTTAAGGCAGTAAGAAGTTCTCAAATGAAGATTGCCACATTTGAGAAATTTTTGACATATTTTGTATCAGTTTTTGTAGTGAGCATACTTAAATGTAATGTCTGCCACCTAAATTGCACTTCTCTTCTATATTTTAGACCATGGGGCACTGTACCATTAAGTACAATAAGTATTTCCCGACAATAACACATTTCAAATAGTCCCTCCCCTTGGCATAACTATGACCAGTATAAGATTTGCTGGAGGAGAATATTTGAACCAATGACGAGTGACCTCAAGAATTTTTTATTCATTTTGACCAATCAGGAGGCTGCGGGGGTGAGAATGAGCGGATCTAACCAGTCCTTCTCAAATAACAAAACAAATACTTAACAAATAACTATATATTATAACGAATATAGTTTTGATATAAAAAAATACAGAAGATTAAAGGGGACATAGTAATAATTGACCATTCACAGCATTTGACCACGTTTTAGTCGTTCCCCTTGGTCCTAAAACATTCAAAATTCAAAAGCTGCTTTACAAATGACTCAAAAATCTAACAAAAGAATATTTTGTAGCATATTTACTAAAGTATTATTTAGTAAACATTATGCTCTGGACACCGGTGTTTTGCTAAATGTAAAGATTAAAGTTAAATGCTAATTAAAGCCTGGCAATAATTAGTATTCCGTATGAAGTGAAGTGTCCAATATTCAAAACAAAGTGGAAGAAAAGTTTCAAACCCAGAAAAATATAACAGAAAAAAAGTATTACAATAAAAGAGTTAAAGAACACGTATTATGCTTTTTTTATTCATGGATTTAGATTGTCGAAGGTGGAAATAATGTGTTTATGAAAAAGATATAAGCTAGACAAAACTACATAGAGTTGAATAGAAGTCTAATTGAAGTTAAACACACACATCGACTGGCGACGGTGGGACTACACTACAATAAAAAGGTGGAAAACAGATTCAAAACTGAGCGTTCTGTGAGGGGAGGATTTAGTGCAGAGGATTCCTGACATTAAGAAGGATGAGAAATGTGCAATGCTTTGACAAATCTTGGAATTCTGAATATGTTTGTGTGCTCCTTGTGTACTCTTACTACAGTCCTGGAAGTTTCCCCACGGTCTAATTCTATATTTTCTATTGATTGATCTTTGGCGAAGAGAGATTGTCATGGTGTGGACTTTTTGGTGATTATTTTTAACCAGTATAATTTTGATGAATTTTTTTTCCCATTTTTTGAGTACTTCTTGTTGGTTGCGTTGACTGCCTACCCCGCCCTCATGTGGTTCTGTTATACCCTGTTGTTTTTGAGTTTTGTTTATTAAATCTTGAATTTTTGGCAGTCCTGCAATTAAGTTCATCCTTCTGATTTCCCCTCATGACAGAATGGGCCGTCAACGAGAGAAAAATTCAATCTTCAGAAGAAATTTTAGGCAGGCAATTTTGCAAACAGCTCCAAATGCATGCCTAGACGTTGCATAATACGTGTCCTTTAACCCCTTGATGTGTTGACGTAAACATGGGCACAGACACCAGGTGGCGCTGCTGTGGTTGTACCTACTTTGTCGGGCTGCAGGTATGCAACGCCTTCAAGTGAGGCTTCCAGGTCGCAATGGAAACTGAGTTCTCATCGGCCGCATAGCTACGCCACACACACTGCATGCACCAAACGCAAGGAGAGAAGAAGAAACCCAATCAAAATCAAAATCAACATCAGACATGAGAGTGAAGGAAGTTAGATTGAGATCCAAGGGGAGGAAAGCGCATTAAAGGGGGTCTGATTAGTGCTTCTCATGGTGGCGGTTGGCGTGGGAACAGCAGGACACATGCCTGGGCGCTGGCAGGAGGCTCTCGTAGTATCGCCAAGTGGCATCCATATACGGCCTGGCACTGTCCGTGGAGTAATAACGCCACGCAGTCTGGGACAACATCAGGGACAACATCAAGGATAACATCAGGGACATCATCAGGGACAACATCAGAGAGGGAGAGAGGCTGTGGAGGTGTGTTGATAGGTCATGTATTCACTAACTTTATACTACTGTCATATTTGCGTTTTTCGTTGCTGTTGCAGGAGGGTCGAAGAACAACAGTGATGATCCAGGACACTCAAAATCCAAAAATATTTATGGACTTGGTTTTTTATCAAGGCATTTCTTGTGTTTGAACTGTTTGATTCTCTGATCTGTGTTGGCAGGTGTGTAAATCTAACCACTATTGTACATTTCTCCATTGTGAGATCAATAAAATGTATCTTATCTTATGTTATTATACAAAGGACTGGGACTGAAATGGACTCATGATGGGTTGCCTCTCCACAATCTGAGTTCTAGTCTCACCATGACAATCAGCAGCAGGATTCACAAAAAGCCTCTTGTACCTGGATGAGGTACGCGGCCGGGTTCCTCCTCTTCTCAAAGTGCTTCTGCCGGTGCTGCTCCTGCACTTTCAAAGCAAAACCTGAGCCCAGAATTCCCTGAAAGGAAATTAAATGTAAAAAATAAAACATTTAAACAAGGTCATATGAAAGACTGAAGTAGTAATTTTATGAAAACGTACACTGACAAAACGGATAATGTTTAAATTCTTAAGTGTTTTTTTTTCCCAAAATTCCAAAGAGCAAAATAATCAGTTTAACATTATTGGGGAGGCCAGCTGAAAAAATCTATCCTGGTAACTATGGTAACGTCTATATCTAATTTATCTTCTTCTCTAATTCCTCATAATACAAAAACGCTCACAAAGTTCCACGTCTTTTTTATCAGTATTAATCAACTATTGTCTAACTGTTTCCTCATGAAAAAAGTGGTGACAACATTCCAAAAACATATGCAGAATGTTGGCCAGTAGAAAGACAAGAGAATACCTTGAATAGAGAGCATTTTGATGGTGAAGCCCTGGTAAAAGCTACACTATGAAAATATCTGCTTATTAATATAACATACAAATACATTTAACACCCATTGTAGCAAAATAATACATGCAGCCTTAATCCTTACTGTCATGAAACCAGGTAAACATCAGGCTACACTGGCTAATGCTAACTCAAAACTGAATGCCATTAGCTTAGCATTATTAGCATAATTAGCACATTTCAAAACAACACCACACATACGACTCACATTAGACTACACTGGCTAATACTAACTCAAAACTGAATGCCATTAGCTTAGCATTATTAGCATAATTAGCACATTTCAAAACAACACCGCACACCCCGACTCACCAATTCACAGTATGCCCCGAGTGCAATGGCGGCTTTCATTTTGAAATAAATAATTCAACTACAAAAATAAACCCACATTACAACTGCCTAGGTTGGTTTTATTTCAAGTGCAGTCACAATTAAGTTCTCATTCCTGGTGAGAATTTTCTGTATTAAAACAAGACATTTGTCCTTTTGGCAAATGTTGCTTTAAGACGTTCAAATTGTGCCCAAATTTACATAAATTGTCTTAGATTTAAGCCATTTCTGACTTATTATTTCAAACTTTTTGCAGTCTGTTCTGAAAGAGCATCATTTTATTACATTTATTTACAAAGGATAACAGGACTATTTGTACAAGACCTGAACTCTGACGGAAGGATTTTGAATATTATTGAATATGGTTTGAAATTGATTTAATATACATTAAATTATTTTCAAACCTTTGCAAAATTGGACACTAAACTTGCTTTTGATTTTTAATAATCTGTATTGTGTTTGTTTTTAGTATAACTGTAAATGTATTTGACTGCTCATTATCATTGAGTATAATTATTTGTGTTGTCTTTGCTGTGTTGCAAATGTCTAAGTAAAGAGAGTCTGATCCCTCTCTCTGTATAACTATATCTTTGAGTTGCAGTCCAGCTGGAAATGTGTTACACAAATAAAACACCTTCTTATTCTTCAATGACGCAACATTTGCTTGGAGCTAAGAAATGGGAAACCTATACGTTTCCACTCGAAGATCTTTGTCAGGGCATCTGATGTAATAAAGTGACAACAGGGGCAATAAAAAAACGCCATTGTCACCTCCTGGGTTCACTCATGTGCAAGAAGAATCTTGTATTTTTGTCCGTTCACAGCCAGAGCAACCAAAAAACTCCTTTGAATGTGGATTAATTAAACACAACAAACCATTAATTTCCAAGGAATTAAATATATTAACTTCACCAATGCTAAAATGAATTTGCCCCAGAGGGATTGAGTCTGTTATCTTCCACACCAAAGTCCAACAATTATGGACTCTGCCTCGAATCTCCTAGAAATAGCAATTTCCAACTTTTACTACAACGTGTTGGGGCGAAGGAAAAACTGGAAACATGAGACTAAGGTTTTATTTAAGAGATGTGTTTTTAACTGTATTTCATATGAAGAAGATTTGCTATTAGTAAATACAGGGCTGTTAAAAAGGGCACATATACAGACACACTGACACAGAGACGGACAGAGACAAACACACACTGACACACAAACACTGGCACAGAGGCAAACAGACACACACACAGACACAGATACAGACACACAGACACTAACGCACACACACATACACAAACACACAGACAGATGCAGACACACACACGTACACACACACACACACCGACAGACAGAGATACAGACAGACACACACACACACACACACACAGACAGACAGACACAAATACAGACACACACACGCACAAATACACAGACACACTGACACAGAGACACACCTACACACACACACACACAGACAGACAGACACAGATACAGACACACACACTAGAGTTGTGCTTTTCAGTGCTCAGCAGTCGGGGCGTGCCAGGCTTGGGCTTCTTTTTATTTTTTAAAATCATTATTATAATTTTTTAATGATTTTCATACATAATGATATGCATATACAGTGTCTTGCGAAAGTATTCGGCCCCCTTGAACCTTTCAACATTTCGCCACATTTCAGGCTTCAAACAAAAAGATATACAAATATTTTTTTTGTCAAGAATCAACAACAAGTGGGACACAATCGTGAAGTGGAAAAAAATGTATTGGATAATTTAAACTTTTTTAACAATTAAAAAACTGAAAAGTGGGGCGTGCAATATTATTCGGCCCCCTTGCGCTAATACTTTGTAGCGCCACCTTTTGCTGCAATTACAGCTGCAAGTCGCTTGGGGTATGTCTCTATCAGTTTTGCACATCGAGAGACTGGAATTCTTGCCCATTCTTCCTTACAAAACAGCTCGAGCTCAGTGAGGTTGGATGGAGAGCGTTTGTGAACAGCAGTCTTCAGCTCTTTCCACAGATTCTCGATTGGATTCAGGTCTGGACTTTGACTTGGCCATTCTAACACCTGGATACGTCTATTTGTGAACCATTCCATTGTAGATTTGGCTTTATGTTTTGGATCATTGTCCTGTTGGAAGATAAATCTCCGTCCCAGTCTCAGGTCTTTTGCAGACTCCAACAGGTTTTCTTCCAGAATGGTCCTGTATTTGGCTCCATCCATCTTCCCATCAATTTTAGCCATCTTCCCTGTCCCTGCTGAAGAAAAGCAGGCCCAAACCATGATGCTGCCACCACCATGTTTGACAGTGGGGATGGTGTGTTCAGGGTGATGAGCTGTGTTTCTTTTACGCCAAACATATCGTTTTGCATTGTGGCCAAAAAGTTCAATTTTGGTTTCATCTGACCAGAGCACCTTCTTCCACATGTTTGGTGTGTCTCCCAGGTGGCTTGCGGCAAACTTTAAACGAGACTTTTTATGGATATCTTTGAGAAATGGCTTTCTTCTTGCCACTCTTCCATAAAGGACAGATTTGTGCAGTGCACGACTGATTGTTGTCCTATGGACAGACTCTCCCACCTCAGCTGTAGTTATCTACAGTTCATCCAGAGTGATCATGGGCCTCTTGTCTGCATCTCTGATCAGTCTTCTCCTTGTTTGAGATGAAAGTTTGGAGGGACGGCCGGGTCTTGGTAGATTTGCAGTGGTCTGATACTCCTTCCATTTCAATATAATTGCTTGCACAGTGCTCCTTGAGATGTTTAAAGCTTGGGAAATGTTTTTGTATCCAAATCCGGCTTTAAACTTCTCCACAACAGCATCTCGGACCTGCCTGGTGTGTTCCTTTGTCTTCATGGTTCTCTCTGTGCTTTAAACAGAACCCTGAGACTATCAAAGAGCAGGTGCATTTATGCGGAGACTTGATTATACACAGGTGCATTCTATTTATCATCATCAGTCATTACTGGTATTGAAGCATTTTCAGCATCTACAGCTAGTTATGTTAGTTAAGAAACATTGCTACTACTTATTTGTATATATTGTGTGTGCTCCCTGTGTGCTCTTACTACTGTCCTATATGTGCGATGCAACATCGACATTTCCCCACTGTGGGACGAATAATGGAATTCTTATCTTATCTTATTTAGGACAACATTGGATCATTCAAAGATCCTCACTGAACTTCTGAAGTGAGTTTGCAGCACTGAAAGTAAAGGGGCTGAATAATATTGCACGCCCCACTTTTCAGTTTTTTATTTGTTAAAAAAGTTTAAATTATCTAATACATTTCATTCCACTTCACAATTGTGTCCCACTTGTTGTTGATTCATGACAAAAAATAATTGTTTTATATCTTTATGTTTGAAGCCTGAAATGTGGCGAAATGTTGAAAGGTTCAAGGGGGCCGAATACCTTTGCAAGGCACTGTATGTATTTACTAATAATAATGTCCGTTGATTGACAATAAGTTATTAAAAAAGTACAAATCTTAATAACACCATAACCGGCATGTCCTACAGCCGCAGCAAGCCATGAACGCTTCATCCCTGTCTTTCCTGTTGAATGCTACGGTCAACAGCGAACACACGGAACATTAACAGAAATGGATCAGGTGGACGTACAAAACACATTCAGAAGTGGCTAAACTTGCAATTGGAAGGTGAGTGCGTGCAACAAGGGAAATCAGATGTGTCGGGCTTCTGTCGGGCTCGGGCCTATTATACAGTGTTAATTGGTCGGGCTTATACGGGCTCAGGCCGGGTCGGCCTTGATTTTTCAGGCCCTAACGAAACTCTAACACACACACACAGACACAGACGCACACACACACACAAACTGAAAGACAGACACAGATACAGACACACACTGACACAGACAGACACAGACACTTTGTCTTTGAGTCGTCATAACAACAATGTCAAGGTTTTCATAACCCTAACCCAGAAACTAGCCGATCATAACACATCATACGGGTTTATTTTGAGGTAAATCTTTGTCAAATACATTCACATGGTTTCAATATTATTATTTTGATTGTCTAATAGCAATCAAAACAAAGAGAATCGAGAAGTGTTTATTGTTTCTTTACTCCAGTCAAAGCTCACAGGACTCACCGCTGGCAAGGCAAAGAAGGAGATCCCCAGGAGAGCGAAGCCTGCAGATAACATTCTCCCCGTCCACGTCTTTGGTGTTTTGTCTCCGTAACCAATGGTCGTCAAGGTGATCTGTAAAAACACACAACTACAATATCAACAATTATCCAAACATACTGTACATCCCAGACATGTTAGTGCCCCGGCCTCCTGCTGGTTCCCGGAGTCAGGACCAAACATGGGGTAGGCTATAGGATATGGAACAGTGTTCCTGAGGCTGTGAGACAGGCCTCTACACTACGTTAAAACTAGGCTGGAAACATATATTTTTAACCGTGCACAAAACTGATTCAATTTTGTACTATTTATTGCTTTTATCTGCCTTTTTAAACGCATATTTTAATGAGAGTTTTAAGTCCCATACTTTTATGCTGCTCTGTTTTAGTAAAATTAATTTATGTTTTTGCTCAATTTTTTATGGTAAATCAACAACATCAAAATCAACAGAAATACATTCCATGAAAAGAACAGGAGTAGGATGAAGAAAAAAAATCTTATAAACTCCTACCCCATTCTTATATAAAGAAATATACAAATTAGACGGCCTAATCTGCACCAAAAATACAAAAAATAGCTCAAACCACATAATATCAACTTTCATATCTAATTCTTATGAAATTATTGTATACTTCATTTGCTTTTTTATTTAATTTAATCATTTTATTTCATGCATTTTGATCTGTGTTTTTAAATTGCTCTTGCGAAGTGCTTTGAATTACCTTGTCCACAAATTGTGCTATACAAATAAATGATTGATTGATTGACTGCCGCTCTTTTGGCTATGATTTTGTTATTCATGAGTGCACAATGTAAGTAACTGAAGAGACACAGTGGTACAGACAGAGCTGAGGCGACTGAGAAAAGTGGAGAGAAAATGGTCTTACGTCAGCAAAGGCAATTTTGGTTCAAACCTAATATGTAAAAGAAAAATGGCTTTCCATAAATTGCAGGTTTTAACTTTTGTTACATAAGAAAGTGATGTGTACTGTATTACTCACCGTATTTACAAGGTGAGAGAGATTGAAGATATTGGAGATTTATACTCCCTATTTTTATTTTTATTACGTTATTAGAAAAAAGATATAGTTCCCTAGGGGCCGAAAATAAGTGTTTTAAGCTTGTTTTTTCATTTGTAATAAAAATAATAATGCATCGGTTATACTGTATATAGCGCTTTTTTGGACACTCAAAGACGCTTCACATGTCATTCTTCATTTACTCCAAACACGGTGGTGATAAACTACTACTGCAGCCATAGCTGCCCTGGGGCTCACTGACAGAGAAGCAAGGCAACCAGTATATAGTTTAGTTTAGATTAGAAACTGATGTATGTGATTTATGTATGATGAGAAATGTACTGAATGTGTTAATGTATCATCTGAATGTGTGGTTGTGACATGTGTATTGTGTAGGTGTGAGGCTAAATGTGTGTGTCTGTATTAGAGAGAATGTGTTGTATTGCAATGTAAATTTTTTTAGGATTGTACATTACTGTATCCATGTATTTTATTGATGTAACCAGGGACTGCAGATGGAAACTAGCTGTTTAGCTATAATCTGGTCCCCTAGAACCCACCCAATAGTGGATTGTGCATTTTTTTACATTATGAATGTAGTTTAACATTTTGAATTCAATCTTTAATCTAATTTGAGCTTGCAGATTATTTTCCGGTAGAATTTTTTGAGCACAACTAGTTCTGTGACTGCATGTTTGGACTGAACTAAAACTGGGTCAAACTTGTTTTTGGGCTAAAATGGGGAAAATGGTCTGATATGTCCCCACTGTGGGAGGCCGGATCTCTTCATCTTAATCTGAATAATTACAGATAAATTGTCCAAAATGTGTTGGCGTTCTTTTCCCTCTGTGCTGATGCTAAACTTGAGCTGCAAGATTAAACACAATTGACATTTTTGTAACTAGTAAATCACACAAACTGAAATATTGAAGACCTTTGCAAACAAAAACAAAACAAAAACACTGCAAAAACCATCAATAATGAATAACACATTTGTAAGGTGTAAACAAGCCACAACATATTTCTTCAAACTTTAAAAAACGGTAATTGTCATGCTACACTAGCAAAAATCTACCAAACAGCGAGGTCGCATTACACTGAAAAAACTCAAAAATTAGTAAAAAACTGCTCAAATTTGGCCAAACATATATTAATTTGAGCACATTCTGACTGCCTTAAAACAGATTTGCCAATGGGACAGAAAAAATATCTTGTTTCAAAAAGATACAAGAAATGTCTGTCTGAGAATGAGAGAAACAGGCAAACGTTATTAAATTAGACTAAATGGCTTTGTCCCATTGGCAATGTAACCAAATTAAGATAAAAACCACTTGATTCAAGCAATTTCACATGTATCACTTTAAGGAGTGTAGTGAGAGACCACTGTACTACAACATATTACTCGACTCCTCTGAAAGCTTTGTGTGCTTGTAATGTGTGTGTTTTTGCAAATACAATTCAACAATCTACACCATGTCGCGCTTTTTTCCGTCTCTTCCCTTCTGTAAAACCACTAAACCTCAAAATGGCCTGTTTTGATTTGGGTTTAATCACGTTCTATTTATCTGTCTGCGGTTTTCGGGCCACGTTTTGTGATTGAAAACTCTCCCATTCAGGCCGTTATTGTGAAGCCGAACAAAGACCCGCCATTAGCACCATTGTGATTTTTGATCCGTTATGAAAATTGTTAATGCATGCAGAAACATATAACTATTATTTGAGGAACACAAAACAGCAAGGAGCCTAATACAATCAGGATTAGTGTCGTATCAGACCAAAAAGCAAATTGAAATAGATCCAGTCAAGAAGCAAAAGTGGGTAACTCTGAGTGATTAACCTACTGTATGATAATAATAATAATTGTCAAAAAGTGTTTAAGCAGGATAAGTCTTGATTTTAGCCTAAACCTCTTTCAATCAGGCATCATCTAGCACTAAAATTCTTAATATACACGTTTTAGTTTTTGTATTCTTATTGTATAATGTATAAGATCTTTGAAACCTAAGAGCTAAATATTCATGATGGCTACTACTAAACTATTACTGCTGCTACAACCTGGAAAAATGCATCTCTCCTTTAGGCTAACGTTTACTGTCCACTGTCCCTGCAAAAAAAAACAAAATAAAAATACCATACCATAAGGGCTGTGGAATAAGGATTTAATGCTCCACAAACAAGCATTGAAAGTGATGGACAACCAGCCTATGAGATGGCACTGTTGCACAATTTTAGAAAACACCATCTGTTAAGTTTTGCTTGTATTCATTTTTAAAACTAAAATTGAAATGAGCAAATAATCAAGCCCCCAAGTATTCTGATTAATGAACCCCTTCCATCTGGTGCCACCACTCGAGGGGCGATGAATGGCGATGGCAGAAAAGTTAAATTTGAGACAACTTTTCAGACTGCGCTCAATGTAAAAAGTCCCACAAATCTGAAACAGTTTAGCTGCAAAGTCAAACAGTGGCCCAAGTCTCTTCTTTAACAGTATATGGCCTGTAAATAGTAAACTCTGGAACACGCTTCACCTGCAACAGTAGACTCTGGACATTTTCAAATCACATCTCAAAACCTACCTTTTTTAACTGGTTTATTCTTTGTAATTTGATAATTATAATAACAGTTTTACATTCTGTACTTTAAATATTGTGTGTGTTGAAAGGTGTCATGAATTAAAATGTATTATTGTTGTTATTGTTATTGTAAAGTTCCAGTGTTTGGTGTCTATGTGTGTCTGTTTTGTGTTGGGGACCAGGTCTGTACACTGCAAAAACACAAGCAAAATAATCTGCCAGTGGATCATATTTTTCCCACTATTTGTTGAAACAAGAAGACAAATATGAATAACAAGTCATATTATCTTAAACATCTTCAGCCTGCATGAGTAAAAAAGTCCCAAAAACGATGTTATTCGATAAATACGCTGAAATAAAGTAAACTATACTAGTCTATATTTTCACTTTTTACAGTGTAAGTTCACCTCTGACCTATGGACCTGGTCGCTGTTACTTCAAATATAGCAATGTTCTTTGTTCGGACCCTTTTAAAAAAAATCAAGTCTTGGAGGCAGAATTCCAAATGGGAAACCAAAAATCAGACTCAGATATATACTGTACGTACAAATGATATGTACTGTGCTTTCTGGACTATTGAGCTCAGCTGTAAATGAGAAATTAAAGTCCATTTTGTCCACATATAGGCCTCCCCTGAATATAAGCCTCAGGTTGTCATGTTGTAATGTAGCAGATCGACGACTGATTTAACTGGTAACAACATGATTTAATGTCATTACCAATTCTATTTGACAATAAATGAGTGTCCTGTAGCTTTTACATAAGCCGCAGGGTTGAAAGAACTGGAAAAAAGTAGCAGCCTATAGTTTGGAAATTACAGTACTTCTTAGATTTAGATTCTGAGTGAAAATCAAGAGTTGGAGTTGTATGATCACAACTCATGATTCATGTAATGAAGATTTAAGATAAGATAAGATCTTTATTCATCCCGAAGGAAAATACAATGGTGCCGGCTGCTCTCATTCACACAGTCACAGGTACATAACAAAAAATAAGCTGCTAAAATATAATAAGAATAGTACAAAATACTTAAATCCCTATTATCATTTGATCATTTTGCTGATCAAATAAACCAAAACCTGATTAAAAGCCGCTCCCAAACGCCGAGTAAACTTACCGTGCCCCACCACAGCGCATCTGCGTACGTCGCAAACTCTTTATTAAACTTGTTCTCCACCAAATAAACCAGAAACGAGGAAAAGATGAGCACCAGGAAGCCGATGTACCAGGCCGTCACCAGCTCCTGCGGAAAGAGGGATTTTAATAAAGGTGAAAGCTTTTAGGAAGATTAACTCTGGAGAACTTCAAAACCCACGCTTGAAACTCGACTGGAGTGAGTGAATATTATCCGATTATCTCTAATCGGCTTTTGACATTAGAGAAACAGGTTAAACATGTCATGTGGACATCCATAAAACAAATGTCAGAATATAACAATAGATAGATTCCAGAGGGTCTGAGATTTACAACAAGGTATAGCATGATTATGGTGGAGCTGAAGGTGGTTGGATGACACTGTCAAAGTGCCTGAATGGCGACCATAGTTTTAGATTCAGATTCATTTATTTGCCATTTGCAGTAAAACCACATTGGAAAACTGTGCAAGACTACCCCGGTGTGCGCCAGTAGTCATTTAGTGTCATTTTTTGGTCCGCAGGCCTGAGTTTGAACATGCCTGCCCTAAACCATTCAAATCAGGTCAGAAATGTAGGGGTAATAATGGTTTAGACTTACACTTACAAGGAAAAAACTGAAACCATGATTTTGTGAGGTCTACAGCAGCTGGCCTCAGTCAATACGATGTCAACACTTTTCCAAACTTAGGCCAAGAAGCGCAAGACCTTCTGACCACTGGAAAAATACTGACGTGTTTCTGCAAATGATCAAATTCTACTTTTGGTGACATGCTTCGATGGGTTAATCACTAAATCTGTGGTTCCTATTGGATGAGGAGACTGTTTGTGTCTCCTTTAACTGGACAGACTTTGTACAATGGTTGTATTAGGAGCGGACAGGCTCTACATTTTGTCCTTTCATACATGAATAGACTTCAACCAAGTACAGTATCCTGGTATAATTGAGTCTGATATTCCATCAATCATTCATTTCCCCACTGCGGGACTAAAAAATGCTTCATTCCTTCAATTCTTTGCCTTTGCGCCTCTGTCCACCTGATAGAGGAGGATAGGTATCCCTGTATTGCAAAAAGAGTTTCCAATGGTCCAAGAGAAATGATCTTGTTATTGAAAATAGACTATATGGCTTGTCCCGTTGGCAAATCGTGTTTTAAGACTGTCAGAATATACTAAAATTAGTATAAAAACCACTTGATTCAAGCCATTATTACATCATATGTTATATATTTTTGCAGTCTGGTATTTCTTGCATCATGATTCTTTCCTTATGCTTCTCTGACAACCCGATATAGAGCAAAGATATCCTGGTGTAACTAAGTCTTTGTTTATGCTCTTCTGTCCTCTGTCCACCATATATCTTACAATTACTTCTGAGTATTTCTGATTAACTCATAAACCATAACTTCAATAGGTAAACAATGACAAGGAAGCACCACTGTCAATAAGCATATTCTTTGTCCAACCCCTTTTCAAACTGTATTTTTCAAAATTAATGTCTATATCTTGTTTATTTTGTTCTGTAAGTTTGTTGGTTTTTATTCAGATCCCCATTAGCGACTGAAATATACAGCAGCTAAATATAAAGTTAGCCTCATTTCTCATTTTGACACCCAGCCCCCTTAGAGCACCTTGCTGTGAGCGTAGACCACGGATCCCAGCAGTTTCCAGGTGCCCCCTCTCCGGTCCATCCGCACCATCCTCAGAATCTGCAGGAAGCGCAGGCTCCGCAGCACCGACGTGGCAAAGATGTTCCCCTGACTCCCCGCCGACACCACCGCCACGGACGCAATCAGCACGATGATGTCTGCAAGGGACAAATCAGGAGCTATGGTTCATATGGAGGGCCGTGAAGCGACATCATCATTACAGGCTTCACTTTAAGGCGGTTTATCCACAACAAGTGTGAGACTTTTACATTCATTTTAGAGTTTTCAGGGTTTGTTTGTTTGTCTGTCTGTTTGCAGCATCACTCAAAAAGTAAGTAAAGTAAAGTTTACTTATGCAGTGCCTTTCACAGATCAAGATCACAATTTTAAAACATACAGAATAAAATAGGACACATACAAGTCAGATCCTAAAACAAACATACAGAATAGCCGTCAACACACTTCAGATGGGTCTATGTACGGTGAGACGAGGTGCGACTTGAAGTTGACTCTAATATTTGCAGACTGTGGAAGCTCATTCCAAAGGAGAGAAGCAGAAGCCTGGAAAGATCTCCTTGTGTTTTTAAGCAAGTGAAGTTATGGCCAAAGTTTGAAATATTTTCAGGAAATCTCAGGAATGGGACAAGGATCACGTGATTAGATTATAGATAGATAAACCTTTACTGCCCCCATGAGGGAAGTTAATGTTGCCACCGTCACGTACATGGAACATAGAAGAAGAAACAAAACAATACACATTTTCTCCCACTGGGGTTTAAACATTTCTAAGGACAATGGTGATGATCCAGGAAACTCAACATTCAACAACATTTCATGGACATTGGTCCTGTATTTTATCATTGCATTTCTTGTGTTTGAACTGTTTGATTCTCCGATGTGTGTTGGTGAATCAACGGTGTTGTAAAGTCTTCCGAGATAACTACTGTTGTTATTTAGGGCTATACAAAAATACATTGAATTGAATAGAATTGAACATTATAGAATGTGCAGCTATACCTGAGTGGACAAAACTCTTTGAGAGTGATCCAGATACAAATTATTTTTAGATGTGGACCTGCGCAGCCGAGTGTGAAGCAACTGGGATGAGAATCAGCACCTCCAAATCTGAGGCCATGGTGCTCGACCGGAAAAAGGTGCCTTGCCCTCTTCAGGTGGGTGGAGAGGTCCTTCCTCAAGTGGAGGAGTTCAAGTATCTCGGGGTCTTGTTCACAAGTGAGGGAAGGATGGAGCGTGAGATTGACAGGCGGATCGGTGCAGCGTGCGCAGTGATGCGGTCGCTGTATTGGACCGTTGTGGTGAGAGGGAGCAGCGTCTGCAGTCAGAGCTGTATCGGACTGTCGTGGTGAAGAGGGAGCTGGGCCGAAAGGCAAAGCTCTCGATTTACCGGTCAATCTTCGTTCCCTCCCTCACCTATGGTCATGAGCTTTGGGTAATGACCGAAAGAACGAGATCTCGGATACAAGCGGTCGAAATGAGCTTCCTCCGCAGAGTGGCTGGGCGCTCCCTTAGAGATAGGGTGAGGAGCTCAGTCACACAGAGCTCGGAGTAGAGTCGTTGTTTTTTCACGTTGAGAGGAACCAGTTGAGGTGGCTCCGGCCTCTGTTCTGAATGCCTCCCGGACGCCTCCCTGGGGAGGTGTTCCGGGCACGTCCCACCGGGAGGAGGCCCCGGGGAAGACCCAAGACACGCTGGAGGGACTATGTCTCTCAGCTGGAGATGGAGGAAGTGTGTGTGGATAGGGAAGTCTGGGCGTCTCTGCTTAGACTGCTGCCCCCGCGACCCGGCAACGGATGAAGCGGAAGAAAATGATATGATGTATGTGGACCTGCGCCTCTTGGTGGATGTCTGCGATCTTTGAATATTCTTCTAGCTTTATTATCTGAACGTGTTTTGATCCTGATTGTGCAATCAAACGTTTTAGTGCTAATTGAGTTCGTGACACAGACAGGTATAAAGGATACTGTCGTCTTCATGAAAATAATCCTTTTTCACACTTCTCTTCTATTTAGACATTTGTAGAAATGACACATGTTTCCATCTGATTCCATCATATCATAGTTTTGTAATGATTGCACAAGACTATGAGATTTCGGAACAGGAAAAGCATCAGCTGATCACACACTGTACTTCCTGTATGTTTATGTATGTGTGTGTCAGAGAGAGAATGACCATAGTGGACATGTTAAAGTATCAAGATGACATAAAGTACTGTGCCATTTTTCATAATGTTGAATATCAAAACCTCTCATAACTCATGCTTTTTAATTTAGTTTTTCTTTTACAATACATTTTTGTTGTAGCGGAAATGTTTGCATTATAGGTTTTCAGTGTCAGTGCCAACTGTATATTACAAATAATACATCACATCTGCAACACATCGTACATATATACACACACATACAAATATATACAAAAATCTGCACACATACAAACACTCAAGAAAACAATAAACAAAAACAAAAACACAAAAAAAATACTGGAAAAATAGATGAATAAGATGAATGGTACATAGATCATTAATAATATGGTGTTATTCGGTAAAGCGCTTTGGGTGACCTCGGTCTGTAAATTGCGCTATATATAAAGATTACTTACTTATTTACTTCAAGCAGACTAACATACCCCGGTGAATACATTACCCCCTGGTGGACAACAGCAATGTGCAAGGTGTAAGATTGAACAGTGTCGTGTCCCTGAGACGTTGTGTTATAATGTTGCATGAGATTTGAACTGTTTAAATACACACTATGTGCTGGTGAATGTGTTAACCTCCACATGCACCACTGCCCCCTTGGGATAAAATAACAATGTGATAAATAACACAATACACCTGGCTTCAGAAATACGCCTCTAGGGGAAGCTAGCAGTTGTGCGAACGGTCGAAAGAAAGAAAACGCCTCGACACTGAGCTCCTGAACCAGTCACTGAGGCAATTCCCTTGTGAAATCCAGCCCTTTCTCTCTCTCTTGTTCTCCTTTTTTATCGCAGGTCTTTTTTATACAGTCTGAAACAAGTCCCAGACAGAAAGTGCTGACCCAAGCGCGACATCTTAACCCTCAGATTGAAAGCCACACAGCGTTTGTGGAGCAAAAAAGGTGAGAAAGGAGCAAAAGAAACCATGAAAAATACATAAGTCTGTGAGTTGAGAGCAATGGGGTGCAGTGAAATCGTTCATTCTTTTTGAAGGTGCTCAGTGCCCGGGAAACAGGTGTAATACAGACGGTAAACGCGGCAGTAGCATTAAAAGAGTATTTGAATCAGCTTTTTATCTTTGATCCAACAAAGTGATAGAAGAGGCTTTTAAAGAGCCAAGGAATTGATCTTTCCCAAGGTGGTTACAGCTGCGGTGCCACTGCCTGCTGTTTATTGTAGAGGATGAATAATGTGTTCACTTTACAACACTAGAAAATGTTGTCTCTAATCTAAAGCAAGACAGGAGGGAATAGAATCAGTGTCTGACTAAGGCTACGTGCAATGACTTCTAGCAAATCAGCAGGTTGATACAAAGACTTTGTTTCCAGCCAGACATCCGTCACAAATCACAGTCAACATAACGACATTACGACATAGATATAGATAGATAGAGATAGATGGATACTTTATTGATTCCCTGGAGGCAAAATTGGGGCAGCTGCGGCTCCAGAAGCAATTCACCACCTAAGAAAAATAAATGCTATACATGACAATTTGGAGGATATTGGAGTCCCATTATCAAAATCAGAGTCAGGCTTCAGTGAAGAAGTTCTACAGTAAATGTATAATGTAGAGAAGGAGATCCAAACACGTCCGAACTATTAATTGTTCGTGACTCAAGTAGATCCTCGAGGTCAACAACTTCCAGGACCTGATCCTGGTCCTGGATGTACCTTGGACCAGGTCCAAACACTGGGGAGACCGGCCCTTCTCAGTTGCTGGACCCAGACTGGAAAAAGCTGCCCCCTGATATACGAGTGCTCACTGATTTTGGCCTTTTTAAATTGAGGCTCAAAACTAATTTATTTCGACTGGCCAGTCAACAACACTCATTGGCATGGTGGCACTTTTTAAATGCTTTTTGGTTTGTTTGAATGCATAAATGTTTGAATGGATGTGATTTTATTGTAAAGCACTTTGGTCGCCGAGTGTTGTAAAGGGCTCCTTAAATAAAATTGATTGATAAATTTTAATCAATTGATAAACATGATTTTTTAGCTAAGTTGGTAGAGCATTGGCCTTTAAGCATGGAGGTCTTAGGTTCGATCCCCCCACGAGAGCTACGTCTGCTTTCGTTATGTCCTTGGGCAAGACATTTAACCCTACTTTGCCTGAAGCCACCACTGAAAGTGAACTCAGTGAGGGGCTGCTGCTCAGTGAATTGGGTGGTATAGCTCTGATGACCACCACCCACCCAGAAATGGATTAAGGGAAAGAAAATGAATGGATGTTTGACCGTGTAAATCACTGGAAATTATTCTCAAAGTTGAACGAGAGAGGGGTTATATTTATTTTGTGTTGGCATACTGGTTGTGCAGGGGTTAGATCCATGTCAGATCCATTCTCTGTCAGTAATGGTGTCCGGCAAGGAGGAAGTCTGTCTCCTGTTTTATTCTCTTAGTATTTAGGTCATTTTATGTGTCCGCAGGAGTAAGAAAATTTCAGGCAGCCTCGCTAAATGAAAGTCACAACATTATAATCATAAGCCTGATGAATGCCAAATTCAGGTGCACACAGTACCACATAGCACCTTATATAAGAGAAATATCTAATTATTGTTGTGTGTAACATCTTTTTGTATTAAATTAGTGTTACACAACTGCCCACACAGCAGCAAAGACATCTCCCTTTTTTCCTTTACACACAACAGTCTCCACACACACAGCACCAGCACTGCCCTGGAGATAACAAGGTTGGAGCACAGAGATACAGAAGAAAATGACAGATTACAAGGCTTTGAAAAGTTGTAAAAATGATCTCTATCTACAAAGAGGGACCTGAGCAAGGAAAACATTCTAACACTGAGATTACACTCATGTTTTTACCTACTATATACAACAGGTCAAGCTCAAAAGGTCAACAATGAAAAATAAAATGTATGGGGAATGGAAGCAACAGGCAGAACCTCAGTATTTACAATAACTTAATTCATCTGTCTTGCCCA